AAAAAAAAAAAAAAAAAAAAAAAAAAAAAAAAAAAAAAAAAAAAAAAAAAAAAAAAAGGCAGAAACGTGAAAGGACTCTGGACACACAGGCACGCGTCTTCGTTTCCTATAAAAAGTTGCCTTTTTTTATTTTTTTTATTTTCTTTTTACCATTTCCCTAAACCCATTCAATTTCAATTTCAATTGCTTTTACTTAATATTTAATATATTATTTCATTTTCATATAATTTTAAATAATAAAATTAATATTTGGATAAAGATAGTATTTATGAGAAGTTGAATTAAAAAGTCAAGAATATTACCATTATTTGTATTAAATTCTATATTACTTATCAAAAAAATCAAAGTCAGATTGAATCTTAACTTCAAAACCAATTTTTAAAATTAATGCTAAAAGTAAATAAGAAATGAATGGGACAATGTCAACTAGAGACCAGCTTTGAATGGAGAAGAGATTTCCTATTTAGACCCGAAAATGTAAGAGGGAGTAGAAACCTTTTTTACCCATAAGATAATATATATATATATATATATATATTCAACTCATATCCCGTCCTATCCCATGAACATCTCTAATGTCATTCTAAGATTTTAGGGGAGATTTGTCAATAGAAGAATTCTAGAAAATATTTCAGTCATACTTGTCTTATGTCAAGCATCGTACACTTTTAATGGTCCATTCCTTCGTGTTAACGGTCCTTCATCTCTACACCTCTTACTTCATGCAATCCACCTTTCGTTCTTAATTTTCTTATAAGTTTTTTAACCATTAGATTCACTTTTCTCGAGAAACTATTTGAACTCTTAACTAAATTTGTAATACGTTCAAACATTGATGTAATGTTGACCAAAAATTTGTTTTTGGAGAAGGAAGGAGGGATGCAATTTCCCATAAAAAAAAAAAAAAAAAGTTTTGTAATTTAGCTGAGACAAACACTGCGCCTTACATTATGTTTATTACGTGCTGTACTTTCTGGTCTCTTAATTTCCAATCTTTATTACATTAACATTTATATATATGTGTGTGTATATATGTGTGTATGTATATATAATCACTCTGTATTTCATTTGATTTACAACTCTGCAATTCTTTATTTCATTTTCGACATAAATTTCTCTCTCCCTCTTTTGTTTTTTCCACTTCTCTCCTCCTTTGCTTAAATCTTCTTCATCTTCTCCGTTTTCTCCTCCATTCACTCCCTTTTCACGCTTAACAATTTCATTTCCATCGGGAAACCCAATCGTTTCAATCTCTGCGCTTCTTGGCTTCGATTGGGCTCTGTTTGATTCATCCATGATGCCTCTCAAGCATTTGCACCAGTTGCTGGAAGAGGATCAAGAGCCCTTTCATTTGAACACCTACATTGCTGAGAAACGGGTTAATCTCAAAAGGGTTTCGTCTAAAACCGATTTGCAAGTTAAAAAACGGAAACCCATTTCGACGAATTCAATTTTTCCTGGAAATTTCTGCAAAAATGCGTGTTTTACGTCCTTCCAGCCTTCGCCGGATTTCAGGAAATCTCCGCTTTTTCAGTTTCGTTCTCCGGCGAGACATAGCCCCTGCAAGAGCCCTAATGCTATTTTCCTCCATATTCCTGCTAGAACGGCTGCTTTGCTACTGGAAGCTGCTCTCAAGATTCATAAACAGAAATCGTCTATGAAAGCTAAAAAAACCCAGATTAAGAATCAGGGGTTTGCGCGATTTGGGTCAGTGTTGAAGCGATTAACTCTTCGAAATCGGAACGCCAACCGTGAAACTGGAGATTGTGGTGGTGGAGCGGAGTTGGCGTCGTTTGGGCAAAGAAAAAGCTCTGTTCGAAGGCACATAGTGCAGGGCGAGACGAGTTCCCACAATGGAAGGTCTAGCTATGGCTTCTGGTCTGAAACCAACGAAGAAGGAAGATCAATGGATTTGGGAACTTCATGTAGTAGCCAATCCGAGGATTCAGAGGAGACTTCTGTTGCTTATTTTGGGGAAGATTACTGTGAAAGCCCATTTCGATTTGTTCTTCAACGAAGCCCGTCGTTCGGCTGCCGGACGCCGGATTTTCCATCGCCGGCGGCCTCTCCTTGTCACCGTTACAAAGAGGTTTGTCATAACCATCATCTCAAATTTGAAAATTTACTCTGTTTTTAGGAATTCCGTTTCCATTTCAGGAGAGGGGTAAGCGTGAAAATTTTGAACTTTGACATTAAATGCTCTGAGTGTTGTTGATAGTACTTTTGAGCATATCTCTGCAATCAAGATCGTTTTCTCTTTTTTACTATCTGAGTGGGAAACTATTTGGTTAAAACAGACAAAAACCACTTTCTTTTTTGCTCTTGTATTGCAGTATTGCCTTACTGCTTCCTTTTTAGAATACAGTAACTTTTTGCAGTACAAGTTTCTGACCAATTCTTTTGAACTTTTATCTGATCAAAACTGATTAACCTCAAGTTCATTAGTTTCAATGGATGAAATTCAATCACTGATCCTTGAAACTTCATTTGGATGCTTAAAATTAGGCTCATTTTAAGTTTCTGTTCAAGGTTCAAACTTAGTGAAGGAAAGGAAATTAAGTAGAGAATCTAGATTTGATGTTATGTTGATATCCATCATCCTGATTTTTGAATTTCGTTTGAATGTTTGTACAGGACGAAATAGTGAACAATGCAGAAAGTTTGAAAAAAATTCAGGAAGAACAAGATGAAGAAGATAAGGAGCAATGTAGTCCTGTGTCTGTATTGGACGCTCCTTTTGATTACAGCTACGACGAAGGGCATGGCGACAGGGAGAGGGACGGAGACGGGAACGGGGAAGAAGAAGAAGAAGATTACGGTTTGGAATGCAGCTATGCAACTGTGCAAAGTAAGTAGCCATCATAAGTCCATTTGATAGTCTATGATTTGCAGTTTATCAATTTCTGATCACCATTTTTACATATATGTTAGGAACAAAGCAGCAACTACTAAACAAGCTTCGTAGATTCGAGAAACTTGCAGACTTGGACCCGATTGAGCTTGAGAAAGTAATGCTAGAGGAAGAACTAGAAGAAAATGATCACGACTACTTCAATAACGAAGAATGCGAGTACTACGATGAGTCAGCTCAAGTGTATAATGAAAATGAGATTGAATTGTTTGTGAAAGAGGTTGCAGACAGTGCAAACTTCTGTAAATCCAAATGGTTTCTCCCTCGAGACATGAGGAAACTTGTGACCGATCTCGTTTCCGAAGAAGAGGCAGATCGAAGCAACGATGAGACAAGAGAGGATGTGATACAAAGGGTTTGCAAGAGGTTGGAGATGTGGAAAGAGGTGAAATTCAACACGATTGACATGATGGTGGAAGAAGATTTGAGGAAGGAGGTTGATGAGTGGAAGAAAAACCAGGCGCAGAGAGGAGAGACAGCCACTGATTTGGAGGTTGCAATCTTTAGCCTGTTGGTGGAGGAATTGGCTGTTGAACTTTCTTGTTGAAATGGCTAAAGTTTTGGGAAATACAACAAATTTCTATTCAATCTTTCTCTATGCTTCCTTAAACAAAATATTAATTCATTTGGTCAATCAATCTGAAATCACAAACAACTGCTCGCTATTGGTCTACTTCAGCACCAAACACTCCTCGTTTACCTAGGTGTCCACTGCCGGAGCTCCGGCTAATGGGTGTCCGAGATTAATGGCCGCTGGTTGGCTCTCAGAAGTCCCCGACGCTGACCTTCCTAACTCTGCGTCTTCGCTACCAGAAATAGTTTACACTGCGGCACATGGCATTCAGGCTGCAGCAGCGTCTTCTACGGCGGCGATAGGGGCAGCTGCAGCTACAATGGGGTTTGATGGTGATTATGTTAGTGCGGTAAGGTTATGATATACAATATAAGAAAATCTCTGAGAGAATAAACAAAATTCACGCAGACTAAAAATTCTGTAACACAACTCCAATCACGAATGTTGTTATTAACCGATGACAAACATCAAAATTACAACAGAAAACACGAAATATTCGGTTCTTCAACTGAAATGTTAACAAAATAGACTTGCAAAAACCTCACATGCAAACACTCTCCTCAAGCTTATTATTACCAACGTCTGGCGTAACCTGATGTTAGCGGTGGGATTAGAAAGAGAGCCATATATGAAGCCTGAGAATCCAAATACAAAATGCCGCAGCTGTTCTTTTTTTGGGTCTAAAACAAGAGCACTGCCAAAACTAATCAATAGCTGTAGTTGTCGATGTGGAGGCTCTCCGAGGCACCCTCGCTGATCTTAGCATCACCCTTGTAAGTTCCAAGAGTAGCTTCAGAGTTGGCCTTGCACCTTACTAGTAAAGCAGCCTGAGCTTTGGGGATGTTATCTTCCTTTCCGGACCATGCCTTCAGAGTACTCTGCTGCAGGGCTCGTCCAAAGGAGAAGGAAAGAGACCATGGCTTCTTACCCTTGAGTTTGTTCATGGCGTTAAGGTTGATGGTGGCCTCCTCTTCGCTCTGTCCACCAGACAAGAACACCACAGCAGGGACTGCAGCAGGAACTGTACGCTGTAGGGCACGCACGGTGTACTCGGCAACAACTTCAGGTGCAACCTTTGCAGATTGAGATCCAGGGGTAACCATGTTGGGCTTCAACAAGGTTCCTTCAAGGAGAACATGGTGGTCATTTAAAGCCTTGTAGCATGCAGCAAGGACACGTTCAGTTACATCAGCGCACTTGTTGATGTCATGAGAACCATCAACCAAGATCTCAGGCTCTACAATGGGTACAAGACCGTTCTCCTGGCATATGATAGCATATCTGGCCAATCCGTTGGCATTTTCATTGATAGCCAACTGTGAAGGTTCGTTAGCACCAATCTTGAGCACAGCACGCCATTTAGCAAAACGAGCACCAGCTTCATAATACTTCTGGCAACGTTGGGCAAGGCCGTCAAGACCCTGGGTTGTGGTTTCGCCGTTGGTTCCAGCAAGTTCAACAGTGCCCTTGTCAACCTTAATACCTGGGAGTACACCACCTTCCTTCAAAACATCAACGAAAGGCTTACCTGCACAAAGGAACAGAAGGGAAAGAAATAGTTAGAACCATCAATTTTGTCTGTTCATAAGATTCAAAAAGCGCAATTCAAAATGGTAAAAAGACCAAAGACCGAGTGATTAGTTAGAATACCTGCAGAGGTCTTCTGGTAGAGAGTTTCTTCAAAGAGAATGACTCCGCTGAGGTATTGGAGAGCATTAGGAGCAGTGAAAAGGAGTTCACGAAGAGCACGTCTGTTTGTTTCAACATTCTCGACATTGATACTGGCAAAACGCTTTCCAATTGTGCCAGTTGATTCATCAGCAGCAAGAATACCCTTTCCAGGTGTTCCAATGTAGGCAGCATTGGCAATAAGCTCGTCTGCAAGGTGAAAGAAAATACAGAAATAATGATCAACAGCAGAATGGACAAATGTAATTCAGAGAAATACTCAAGAAAAGTACCGAAAAGTCAATAGCATCAGAATTCCCAATAAACTTTTGTCTACAGGTAAAAACTAAATTCAACAATATGGTCTCATAAATCAAAGGTACATACACAACTAAAATTACCACTATCAAAGTACACACATTTTCCAAAGCAAGGATGCCGGGTAGAAAAAAACATCAACTAAAATCATGACATCAAACACTATTCGTAAGATCTGAATCTAGACGCCAGTGGTATTCGGCGACCAACTTCACTCAGTGAAAAGATCAGTTTTTTTGGGTATACTACTTCGGGAAAAGTGAGAAAAGGGTATCCTCTTCCATGCTCTCATTACGTATCTAACGGAGGAAAACCCCCGAACACACAGATCTGAACTGCTACCCTATCGATCTACTCACCAGCAGTTAGAACTATCCAAGTAAATTAGAGAGAAAGAGGAGCACTAGCTACAATGAATTTGAACGAGAAAACATATAAACATCTGAATCTCGTGCCATACAGGCAATTCACATAAGCTTCAACTCTCATTGAAGTGAAATATTGCGTTAAATGGCATGAGAACACGAAATGAAAGGCTAAACAGATGGATCAGATAGTAAAAAAAAAAACAGAAAATTGGAGATCGGAAGACAGTAAGTAAATGAAACATCCAACACAAGATCTGGACTAAAGATGAAATGCATGAAAAGAAAACAGAGGAAAAAGATGAAGAAGAAATCCATTACCAGCGTATTTGCCTCTGTAGCAAGACATCTTGGATACGTAAAAGTAGAAGTGAAAGATTGAAGCTTTGTGAAAAGGCAAAATAAATCGATGAAAACAAGAAAGGGTTAGGGTTAGGGGTTTTAAGGCGGGGCGGAAAGATCAAGAAATGTGCATCCACATGGACTTTTCATCATTTGCACGTGACATTTCCACCAACGGACCATTTTGTGATTTTACCCTTTTGCCCTTCACTGGAACCGTGTGCGATACGGAAAGCGGCTGTAATGGTTTTGTCGATAAGTTGTTGGTTTTGACCCTTTGGTTTGTGGATCCCTTTTTCTTCACCAAATTATGTATATATATAATATATATTTTAATTTCTACTTTAAATTACTATACAATAGTAAAAAAAAAGGCTCTTACTACTGTTTTTTACCCATTTAAGACGTTATTAATTAAAATTTTAAACTAATAATATGATGTCCCAAGAGAAGAGAACAGACCACCCTTATAGGGTGTGGAAACCTTTGGCTAGCACACGCGTTTTAATGCCTTGTGGGGGGAAGCTCGAAAAGAAAAGCCTAAAAAGGACAATATCAGCTAGCGGTGGATCTGGACTGTTACAAATGGTATTAAAGTCAGACATCGGACGATGTGTCAGATTTCTCGCTGTTCCCCAGAGGGGATAGACACAAAGCAGTGTCCTAGGAAGGGGGATGGCTTTTGTAAAAGTCCCACATCGATTGGAGAAAGGAACGAGTGCCAGCGTCCTATGGATTGTGATGTCCCATCACATTGGTTGGGGAGAACAAATCACCCTTTTAAGGATGAAAAAACGTGTTTTAAAAGCCCTGAAGAGAAGCTTGAAAGAGAGAACCCAAAGAGGACAACACAAATAATTTTATTGATAATTATGCTAAAAAAAAAAAAGAAATTATTGATAATTTTTGTAATTTTGTTAGGAAATTCACATGGTTAAGTATAAATTGTCGATCACATCTTGTATACAGAACATAACAAATAACTAGAAGTAGTTGAGAAATGGGTATACAGAAAAATGGTACAAAAGATCTGATGGAAGTTACATAATTGTACAATATTAACACTTGGATGCATTAAATCTAATGTGACAGCTAAAGAATTAGGAGCGGCTTTTGGCACTACATATTAACATGAGATACTTCAAGGGTTTAGTAAACCTCTCTGTTAAGAGTTGCCGGGAATTGAATGTTTCAGTACACTATTTGTTTGTACAAGAGGGGAAAGTTAGAGCTGATGATAGAGAGGGCCGCTTTTGATGGACTCAGCAGCCGCTGTGACATTATACATCGAAGAGCACAACGCTGGGGGTTGACATTGCACAACTGTAGAGGGAATAAGTATATTTTGATGGTAAAGAGAGAATATGGGCGTCAACAAAACTGAACCTTGGTTCGCCTCAAAAATGGAGATACTTCAGAAAAGAAATCAATATACATCAATGAATCTGCAACCAAACACAAGCACTGTGCCATCAATAATTTGAGCATTGCATATCAAATAACAGAGGACTCCTCCCCACCCAGGACAGTTCAATTCTCTACCATTAGGAACACATGTATAGGGAGAACAGAGTAGAACCAGGACAGAAACCTTACCAACACACACATGAATCTATCTGAACAGCATCATATCTGCCAGACAAACCTTTTGAGAACTCTGTTTTTCACATGAACAAAACTGAGGAGTCCCTTGGATTCCCTCATTGAGTAACTAATGACATGTTTGGGCGAGCTTGATTAGGTGTAGCTGGTTTGATCAATGGCTTCAATGATTCCATTATTTCATAAAAGGATGGACGTTTCCAGGGCTCGCTGAAATATAAATCCAATAATTGCTTGAAAAATATTGAGAGTAAAACGGTGAAGGAAAACCTTGCAGAAGTTCAACTCACCTGGCGAAGCAAGCCTCTATAATAGTAGCAACTTGAGGATTTAAATCACATGGGATCTCAAGCCTTTTGCCTTTGAAACCCACGGCGGCCACAACCTACATAAGAATATTCTCCGTCAGGCTTAAAGGGCAGATTAACTATAATTCTATAACATTTTGGGGTTTGGCAATGACCAAATTATCCGTCCTAATTTACTGAGTCACAGACAAAACAGAAACTACAAACAAGTAAAATATCATACTACAATATAAAAGAAATTACCAATTGCCTTACAGTGTAAATTTACAGCATTGTATAGTAGAATAAAAATATAGGATAAACTGAGATAAAGAGTAGATGCAACAAATAAAACGTGAAGGGTATTGCATCCATAATAGCATCCACAAAACACTTAATTCCAAAAATCGCCAATTCTTTTTAAAACTTTATGGATACTTAGGATCAAAGAAGTGACATACATCACTCTGTAGCGATTGCCATGAAATACCAATGCCAGACTCGGGTTATTTTTTGATACCAGTTGCTCTAGAAAGTTCATATTTCAAAGTATTATTACAATTCTCTGACCATTAGGACTCGAGGACAAAAGGGTACAACCTAAAGGTCCTTCAAATAAGGTTGTTTATTAACCAGTCTTCAACGGACAATATCCCTTCAAAAGATTTGTCTTTAACAACCTTGAAAAATTATCAACCAGGCAATGAAAAATCAAAGGAAATTTCTCGTTATAGCATCATTAATAATCTTAATCTTGAAAGCAAACCTGCGCCGGGTTCAAGTTGCCCCATGGTTGCTGCAGTGAAGCAAGCTCCCACAGTATCACACCAAAGCTATAAACATCTGATTTCTCATTTGAAGGCTCATCACGGAGAACTTCGGGTGCCATCCATTCAGGCTGATAAAAAGGAAGTAGTATTTTTGTTGGTTAATAAAATGTCCAGATTCGAGAAACATCTCACAATTATTACATGGAATAATGCTGTAAACACAAGAACTTACAGTCCCAGCAGCTGATTTTGATGAAAGAAATGTGTGCGCCTTCAAGCGTGAAAGCCCAAAATCACAAATCTACAGGCACATCAGGCAGATAGAATTCGATCAATGCAAACAGAGAGAGAGAGAGAGAGAGAGAGAGAGAGCAGTTTGGAAATGGATGGAACTGAAGAGTCATCATTCATCACTAAGAACGTGGTTGAAGTATCAACCAAAAAGTCAACCTTTTCTAGAACAAAATTCATTTCCAATTCCCCCTTCCCCAAATAAAAGCAAGTTGATTAATCATAAACAATCAGGATTCTGCTTTAACACTAAAAGGATCTCCTATTTTAAGATATATTCAATAAATCCAATTTTTATTCAAAGAAGGCCAACTGATATAATTACAACTTTGTTTGGAAGAAAAAATATAGTTCGTCAGAATTTTGCTATAGCAACACCCTAAAAGGATTTCCTCCTGTGTACTGGTAAGCTCATGTGTACATATAATAATCAATTTTAACACAAAAGTGTAATAAGTAGAACACAACTTGATAGGAGATGAATTATTTTAGAACTTTGATCATTCCACTCCATGTGGTGTTAAAGTCTGTTTGCAACTTTGACAACAAATAAATGCATATGCATTGGAGAAAAAAAAAATGTCATATCCTGAAACATTACTGAACATAGATCAGTACAATTCATTGACTTAGATAATTCAAGTTTTAGTCTTGACAGTCTCATGAAAATATATAAACATTAATCAGAAATGAAATGCCACAATATGTATGCATAATCGGTAAAATTCAATACTGAGGCAGATTATTCCCGAACATCTGGGTGGTCCATTGAATAAATGCACATCAACTAATATGACAACTACTGAAAACAAGTCTTTCCCGCCAGACATGACTATGATAAAAAATTTAATAGACAGACTAACTCACGGAATCTTTAGATATAATGTCCATAATCAATATAGAAAGCCAGAGATTCTCAGTTCCAACCTTTACTGTGTACTTCTTATCAACCAAAATATTTGGAGATTTCAAATCACGATGAACAATTGGGGGATTACGTTTGTGAAGATAATTCATCCCTTTTGCCTGTTATTATCAACGACAGAACAGTAAGCTCAAAAGGACGAACAGATGTCAAGACATGATGATGATAATTGATAACAGCATTCACAGAATAAAAGATGCAATAACTAAATGCTATGGTTTGAAAATACATACAACATCATGTGCCATGTTTAACCGACGTCTTTCATCTAAGACTTCTCGTGCCCCAGGTCTATGCAAAAGCCTGTGCAAACTCCCTCTGCAATTAAGTCATCAATTGGTGAACATATATATTTTTGAAGGGTATAAGCATTCAACACTTGAGGAATTTGAAGAACCTTGATAAGTATTCTGTGACAATGGACAAGTTTGGAGGCTCAGTGACTGCACCCATAAAAAGAACAATGTTCGGATGTCGTAGAGATTTCATTATGGCAACCTGGAAAAGCAAAAGAAGTGATTGAACCTACTGAGTGATTACTTGCAAGTGATGCGCAATTGTAGGAAAATTATCTTCAAAATATTATGAGTGCTTCAAATTTTTGGAAACATATACCTCCCTAAGAAATTCCTCGAACCGTTCTGCATTAAGGTCTTGTTCCATCAGAATCTTCACCGCAACATCCTAAAATATCAAAGGCACAAAAAAACATAGTCTTCATCACATATGGTTAAATTTTAAAAGTACATTTAAAAAAAAAATTTAATGAAAAAACACAAAAAAAATGATGATGAAAAAAATGCAACACAACTTTGAAATCTGAGACCTATGTTAAAAGAATGAAAGAAAGAAAGAAAATTTAAGCTTCTTACTGAGCCGTGCCAATCAGCATGATACACTGTCCCAAAAGAACCTGCATTAACCAAGTAGACAGTAAGTGTGGTAACATAGAGAATGATGATATGATATTATAAAGACTACATCTCTCGCTGGCTAAAATTCATATGTGATGGAAAAGCAGAAAATGTTTCTATCAGAATGAGAACATATATATACCTGCTCCAATTTTCTCCCTCAAAACAAGATCATTCCATGGAATAACAAAATCTTCTATGCCAAAGGAAAGCTGATTCGGTTTTTTAACCAGCCGATTACCATCAATGAATGATAAATTATTAGCAGGATCCATCCTTAGACAGGGCAGTGCTAAGAGAGGCTCAGAATCTCTGGAATCAATCTGTGAGATCTGGTTTAAACGAACCACATTTTCTACAAAAGGGGTAGACTGTACACTATGTTGAGCAGTAGAATCACATGATCTAAATTGCTCAGACTTTCCATCTTGAGCATTCCGTTGAGTAACTTTTGGATTCATTAATTGAGGACTTCTATCCCTGTCACCAGCAAGCACTATGTTTTTTCCATGTACATCCTTCCTGTTGAATGGCCTTTGATAGACAGAGCATGCAGCATCCTTCCCAGATACAACATTCCCTGCAATTGAAAATTCTGAACTTGTTAACAGAAACCAGTGTGTCCGAGAACACATTACAACACTGATCATACAATTGTCGAAGTCTATTTATGATTGGCTGGTGGAAGCCTTCTCATTTAGTAGTTGGTCTAAACAAGCTTAATTATGGCATGTTTAGCTGGACAAAACCAGAGAGTCTTCAAAGATAAGACTTCTCTTGAGTTGTTTTGTAGAATGTTCAGATAACTTGCTCTTGGTGAAGTTATAATCACAGTAACTTCATTTGTAATTACAACCTGTCCTCGATTGTGAACAACTGAAATGCTCTCTTATAGTTTTCTCTTTTGGGAGGGGGTTCACTCTACCCTGGGCCCCTAAGCTGTTATTCCTTCTTTTTTTTTTTTTTCCAATCCTGTATAGTTTCTTGTCTTTAAAAAAAAAAAAAAAAAAAACACTGATCATACAATCTCAATAACAAGTCCATTTACAAGAGGTATGCAGAAAAACGATGGACATATCATGGAACAGAATCGATCAAATTCTTAAGAAGAAAATGATTTTAACATCATGTCAAGGCTCAGTACTCTATTGCACATTTATGAAGCATGTCGCGTAGTTAAGTCAAACTTTCAAAAGGTATAAACTCCGGCTGATAACGGAAGGTGAACAATTAAGAAAAGCCTGCACTCTGTCTACTACCAAAAATAACCAAATAACACACAAATCTAAACAATCACTAATTCTGAAAACTTGTTAAGCATACTGAGCTCAATAAAGATGGCTTGACAAGTTTCAGGACCGAAAAGAAGCTAACAATAACAGTAATCATGGTAATAAGAAAAGCTTCACATTCTTGTTAAGTAATCACCTGAAGAAGCTTCATCAAATACAATATTAAGTGATTGACTATCCAAGAAATACTGTTTGGCCAGTGACCTGAAATCAATGTTAGATTCAATAGGTTTTAGTCTTGGAAATCGCAATGGTGAAGAAATTGAGATGGATGATGGACCATTGAGCAAACAATCAGGTTCACATAAGCAACCAGGCTTCCCAATCAGATCAATGACATATTCCCTGAAAATTAGGACTATCATGTTAAGAACTTAGGTATATCATGAAAACTCTAATCAATCAAGAACAGCCAAAAGTGGACAAGCATACCTATCAAGACCGAACCTAACAAGGCAAGATGAAGCATCATCTCTAGTGCAATATTTACAGCCCCTGGCAATTCGACAAGGCAAATCAATTGAATCTGCTAGCACCTGCAAAAGTTACATTTTTAGGCATGTCTGTTCTGATAATATTCATACACGGTTTACTCTCGAACCATTAGTATCACTTATAAATACTATTTATGGTCATTCACACTGATGCATAAACAATTGTAAGATTTTTCACTGACTAAAAGATGCAATCCACCAAAACACCTGAAGTAACATGTACCATTAGAAGTAATGATAACATTAAAAGAACACAAGTGCAATCTATAAAATGTTTAAGAATATACAATTGATTTGCATTAAATGAAATTCTCACTTTGAATAAAAGAGCACGATGCCTGCAAAGGCCAACAGCTAAGCTGCACAAGGGAATCACAACAGATCCCAAACATTCTTTTAAGTCATCGCTGCATTCCCTCCAGGAGGGAACTAAGGCATCTTCTCCCTCAGAAACTGAACCCCTGTTCATGCAATTATTGATTTTATAGTACTCATAGAACAGTTTAAATCTCAACGACTATCACAAGAAGTGTAGATAACTCACCCCATATGATTGCATACCAGCTTTGCTAAATGATCCGCAACCTCTTCTGTCGTTATACAGCTAGAAGAAATATTATGGACCCTGTTTTGCAGTTCCTTTAGGCTAGCATCACTATGCCGATCTATGAAAACTACTTCAATTGATGAACGGATGCTGAAGTCAACTGTCTTCAGAGATTCAAATGATGGTATACGCCCATCCTCTTTCAGATTGGTGCATAAAGACCATACATAAGGGTCCATCCCATGAATTAGGTACAAACCATCTGGCACCTTCTCAAAATATGACATGCATCCATTTACCTGATGGGTACCAAATTATAAGATAGCATGCTCAAGCAAAGATAAAGAATTATATGTTGTGTCAAAATCACAATTTATGAATCCTTAGCCATCTTTTGAAGGTGCTAAGAATGAAAACAGATTGAAGTTTTTCGGGCAGTGTGTACAAAAGGCAGAGATGTAGTCAATGCCAGCTGAAAACAAATTGAAGTTGATCTTCCTTTTTTTTCTCTTTTTCTTTATTGCCTCTCCTTCAAACATTAACATGACAGGCTCTGAGTTCCTAATTAATTTTATGTACCTAAATTTGCAGTTGGCGGAAGGAAATTTTGGATGTTACTTTAGACCTTTAATTTCCTGGTTTTCAGTTTTTTCTTAAGTGACTTTTTAGAGTTGGAGAACCGGCACTTCAAGTTACAAACTACTATATTAGTAAAAATGTAACGAATCAAGCAGACTCGGGATGCTTTATGACTACGTTTGAACAATCCCATTTAAATCTTCCATCAACTCAGAGTGCAAATATTTTCTTCCGAGTACTTCTTTCTTTTTTCCTCAAGGAAACCCAAATACTGTTAATTTCACAATCCCAACCTATAAAACATCGTACCAAACAAAAAAAAAAAAAAAGAGGACATATTGCATCCTTCGACGACAATAAAACCAAAAGAATGATAAATTTGTAACACCCAATAGATTATTCGAATTATAATAACATGACAGTGAACTAGGCTGTTTGCGCACCCTAGAGCATGCTTTAAGGTATCTATGTGAAGCAGAATAAAGCAAAATGATTAAAGAACAAAAAGAAAACGACGATGAAGAGATTAAAAAACGAAAACAAACTCTAACCCAAAATCGATGCGAGATAGCCTCAGCTGAACTTGACAACGATCTTGAAGCTGCCTCGTCTGGCATCAGATCCATAAAGTTGGGATCATCGGCACAAGTGGCCTCTGAAGAAAGCCTGAGAGCCAAGGCCAGCTGCAACTGATAACTTTCTTCCGTCTGCTGTGCCCAGCTCTTCCCCGACGAACCTCCACTTCCGACAGCTTTGACTCTAAATTCATCGTCGTGGATATATCCCAATGCATTTATCTCATTTGCTGCTGCGTTTGAGAGCGTTGGTGCGTAGTAATCACTGGAGAGAGAGCTATCATCGTAGCTACTTCCACTAGAATGCCTCTGCAAACCAATCCATGAATACATGTTCCCAATTCGATTCGGCTGCGTGTTTAACTTGTGATCACCACTCCCGTCCCAATCAAAGACTCTATCCGTTCTCCCCTTGCTAATGTTTGCCTCAGCTGCTATTGACCCGAAAAACGAGGTGGAAGGTCCCGTTCCAATCTCCTCATCCGGAATTTGACTTAAAAACGTGTAATCTGACCTCCTTCCAGGCATTTCCATCGAGAAAACAAGAATCCGTATCACCTTAAACCCTTAGAAACCCTAGAATCCACCATTGTTGAAGTGCTCGGAAGGTTTCTGTATGTTAGAATTTCCGGCTTTGTACCTCCTCTCTCTTCTCTAATATTTATATTGTGGGAAAGAGAGGAAGAACCAAAAATTATTTATACGGTGGCACAAGTAACCGCAATATTCCACTTTTTCATGATTTATTTATTTTTTATTATTTTATTGTCATCATTTTTTACATGTAGTATTTTTTTTTCATTAATTTGCATTTTTAAAGAACTTTTTTTCTAAACCCTCTCTCTAGTCAAAACTTACCCCAAGTTGATCATTTTATTTTATAAATTCAAAACCATAAGAAGTTAATAAAAATATAAATGTAGGGACCCAAACCCACCATTGGCAGGTATTAAAATGCATTTGTTAGAGAGAGATTTCTTCGTTTAAAATACATCTGTTAGAGAGATTTTTTTGTTTAAAATACATCTAGAGAGATTTCTTTGTGACCCAAACCCACCGCTAACAGTATTAAAATGATTTTTAAGAGGAAGAAATGAGACAAAAGTGAAGTCAATGGTTGGTACTTACGTACAACATTTTAGTCAAACTTTGGGTTGGGATTAAAGGGAGCATTGAATGAAGACCACTATTATTATTATAATAGTAAATACTAAATTATAAATTTAAAAATAAAATCCAAGAAAGGCCGAAACACTAAAACGAGATTGAAATAGGAGTTTGGTTCACACTATGGCGGTGAAAATGAGGGGTTTGGTTAACCACATGGGAACTTGTCCCTGCCGATTGGATGAGTGTGGAAGCTATCTACTTTATAACTTGTTTCCTACGCCTCTCATACCATTTTGGCCTGAAGTGGTCGGCGCCCACCCAAGCAGAAGCTGGGGGCTGTAGTTCTCGACTCCATGTTTTATGTTTTGTTGTTTACGTTATTAAAACTCACATTTGGAATGACATCGAACCCCGGAGACTCAGCATCGGTGTCCTCAGGGCAGCATGCTTCACCAGTGTACCCTTTTTCTGGTTAAGAGATAGCAACTTAAGACGACTTTGTTGTCAAGCTTAAGAGACAAGCTAACTTACAGTATTTTATCTACCTATCATTTGCCGTACCTGTCTTACACTTTTGTTCTAGTCAACTTGCTAGCTGCAAGACGCAATCTGGCTATCAAAGCTATCTCCACTCACATATTAGACAAGAGCATGTGTAAAATGAGTAAATGGATTTCTCCTGCTTATCTTTATCTTTTATTGAAAAACCACGAATTCATGTTGATCCATCCTCATCATCATTGTTGAAGATCATGTGTAAGTGCATTGTTAGATTGTAAGCCACTACATAAATGGTTTGAGAATCTAAATTCTCATAACCAATGTATTTGAAATTTGAAATTTAGCCGAGGAATTGTGAGAAACCAGCAAAATTTTCATAAACTAAAAACTAAATCATCAGAAAGGTCTACTATATTCCCATTCAAAATAAACACATGAAAAGACTCGGGACAATACAAGCAAAATGAGAAATCCAAGGTGTATTGGCCAACCAAAGCAAAAATTATTTTCAATGGCAGCTCCATAGTATTTCTCTACGAAAACATCAATTAATGTTGGAAATACAAAACAATTCAAAACAAGAAAGCGAAATTACATCTACTTCTGTCTCATAAATCCTTGGAACTTACTTGATTATGGAATAGGGAAATCAACCTTACGAGGACATACATTTTTCAGCATTACAGAAGTTGTAGAGAGAAGCTTCCTTCATGTTTCCAACGAAACATCACATCAAATCCTGCAAATCCTCCAGATAACAGCCAAACCTGTATTATGAATACGATGGTAAGCTGCCTAAGAAGTATTTGGGAAAGCAGGAAAACCTGAACCTGCAAAACTCGCAGCGTATGTAAGAAAGATAAAAGAAAATTCAATAAACATATACAAATAGCAAAAAAAACCATAACCACAAGTGCTTCTATTTCTATTTTCCTGTTAAGATGGGAGCATGGGCGGGATAAAAACTTTCGATTAGACCGACAACAAGCTCTAGTTCTGCTTTAGGTGTGAATCTATCTATATGAGGTTGAAAATATTGAAAAAAATACTAGTCTAAAAAATTAAACCAGATCTCAAGATAACAAATATGAAGAAGTACCAGTTCGGATGAGTAAATTTTGGGGGCTAGAAAATAATATGATAATTACCAACGTATTAACATTATTCTGATTGACCAGTATATTTAAGAAAGAGGTAAGCATCAGCAAACATGAAGGCTGGTTCTAAGATTTTGGTCTTCATCTTTATGTACAAGTAAAGCATAGAAGGTTTAAAAAATAGGAAAAAGGAAAGAAAAACTAAAAATGGTTTTCAGACATCTTTCCTCGAGACTTATGAAGCTTAAACGCTACACATACACATCCTACTTTTAGCTAATACCAGGATTTATTTTATCATGTAATTCCCATAAATATGGTGGAAATGCGTTTCCGACTGAGGTGAACGTAGGTAGAGTTTAAAACCAAGGAACAAAGAATAGACAAAAGGAAGAATGGATAGGGATGGCTGTGACCAATTAAACAATGGTATGGAATATTGTAGAATTTTCTTAGAGACTTACTCACTAACGACTATTTCTATACTAGTTAATTTCTGTTTTAGGGTGAAAGAGACGGGGTTAACAAAACTGGAATTCACATTCATAAACACGTGACAGGGAACCTGTCCTCCACCTGCACAGTGGAAATGGGCAGTGAGCTACTTCTTTTAAAAAATGGGCTGTTTTATAAAGGGTACAGTATTCTACTATGGCACCTATATTGAATAATAGAAGGGCAGAAGCAAACCAGCAATGTTCCTTTCAGCCAAGCAACAGCATCCAAGATTTTCTCTAGTACTGCTTAGAAGGATCAAATTCATCTTCATTTTGTACAAGGCCATTGCTACCACCATCATCCTTGACATCCTGGTGACCACTACCATTATCTGCCGTTTCCCTGTCCCTGTTCCACTGTTCAATCTTAGCCCTTCTTTCAGCACTACTTTCCCTCACCGGACTTCTATTCCTCCTCCCTCCAGGGCTCCTACTCCGTCCCCCTCTATGCCTAGGGCTACGGCTTCTAGGCCTCCTGCTTCTATCATGATACCGAGGGTCCTTGTCTCCATCTCTTCTACTAGGTCCACGTCCACGACCACCATGGGGACGGTCATCATGTCCATGATGCCTGTGGGGGCTTCGACTTTGACTTTGGCTTCGGCTACGCCTGCGTCTGCTCCTCCCAAATAAACGCCTTCTCAACTCTCTAAAAGTACATGGACAATTACAACAAAGAGAATATGGATCAGTAGCCAGCTAATTCTTTTTCAGAGGAAACTAAAGAATCATGCTGATGTGATGATATACCTGCTTATCTTCTTCAGATGCATAAAGTTGCAATAGCCACCACGATTACATACATTTTCCTCATATTGCCTGCAAGTAGCTTCTCGAAAATCCGTCACAGGAGAGAAGTCAACAATGATGGGTCGACCTATCACGAATTTGAAAAACAAGACCAAGTAACTACACATCCGGACCATCTTAGGCACAAACGAATAATGAAGAGTATCTAGTTATCATTTTTGTCCTTTTCGCAACCATTGATGAAGTGTATATCCGCTGGTATAATAATAAAAGCTGTATATATATTCTTGCAAAATAGAGTTAGTTGGTCCAAGTTTTTACAGTTTACCTTTGGGAAAACTCCATCAAACCTCCAAACCAACCTTGCAAGGTCGTTATTGATTTCCAAAATTGCATATCGAACTCATAAATATTTAACTACATTATCAGTGTCGAATCATCCAATAACAGATGTACAGGGAGCTTTTAAAACTTTTATTTCCTCGTCTAACAGTTAGACTAGTGATAATCCAGGAAATATGATGAAAAGATTCCCAAAAATGAAAAGTTCTAGTGATAAATCCTTGATTTGAACCAAGAATCCAAAATAAAGTTCATTAAGTCATATTAGAAATACTTAAATAGAACGAATTCGCATTTTATCATAATCAAGAATATTCATTACACGGAGTGTCACGGGCTCAAAACTCACTATAAATCTTTCGACCCTCGTACCACTGAGCAACCCAAAGAGTACTCATATAGAATCCACAAGATTGATTTCGTCGTAAATAGAAAACCCATAAGGAAAAAGGAAAGTATAAGACATAAAACCTGCATAAAAGCGCCCATTAAGATTCTGAAGCGCATTTGCAGCTTGTTCTTCTTCCCTAAACTGAACATAGACATTGCCCACCTGTCCACGGATTTAAAGCCAAACTAGTCAGTAACACAGATCCAAATACACCTTTCAATTTAAGAAGTCGATACCAATATACCATATGGTCAGCCAAATTATCACAAATATTTAAGCTTTCGAGATCTCCATATTTGCTCAGCTCCTCGAATAGATCTTCATAAAAGTCCTGCATCCCAGACGTTTCGGCATTGAGAAGATGCAAGTTTAGGGAAAAAGAAGTTTCAAAATCCAAAAAAATAAATGTAAATCAAAGAAAAGCAAAAATCTCAGACCTCGAAGTGGTCTTGAACCTTGCGCGGATCAAGGGCTTGGCCCTGCGGGTCAACACCGGGGGTGATCATGTCAGGTCTCTGATACATATTAGAGAGGAGAAGTGTAGGGCTGATGCTGGGCTTGGTGTGAAGCCGAGAGCACCGATCTCCATGTCTACAGGCTCCAATCTTGAAGTAGAAGGGGCAGTTAACCCTATCCTTTTCCGTTCCGAAAATTGAAGCCAAATGTTCCGCCATTTTCTTTTGCTCGAGACCGGCAAAGTTCTGCTGTTCTTCTCCTCCTGATCTGGTTTTATCGATTAGGTTTTTAGTGATGAAAAACAATATTTATTTTGTTAAAAAAATTGTCCCAAATCAAACAGCAGGTTTGCCCGAGAGGTTAAGGGGGAAGACTTAAGATCTTCTGCACATAAGTGCGCGTGGGTTCGAACCCCACAGCCTGCATTATTACTTCTATATTTTTTAAGCTATAAAAGTTGAATTAATATTTTTCATGTGTAGAAGGTGCAGCAGGTTTGCCCGAGAGGTTAAGGGGGAAGACTTAAGATCTTCTGCACATAAGTGCGCGTGGGTTCGAACCCCACAGCCTGCATTATTACTTCTATATTTTTTAAGCTATAAAAGTTGAATTAATATTTTTCATGTGTAGAAGGTGCAGCAGGTTTGCCCGAGAGGTTAAGGGGGAAGACTTAAGATCTTCTGCACATAAGTGCGCGTGGGTTCGAACCCCACAGCCTGCATTATTACTTCTATATTTTTTAAGCTATAAAAGTTGAATTAATATTTTTCATGTGTAGAAGGTGCAGCAGGTTTGCCCGAGAGGTTAAGGGGGAAGACTTAAGATCTTCTGCACATAAGTGCGCGTGGGTTCGAACCCCACAGCCTGCATTATTACTTCTATATTTTTTAAGCTATAAAAGTTGAATTAATATTTTTCATGTGTAGAAGGTGCAGCAGGTTTGCCCGAGAGGTTAAGGGGGAAGACTTAAGATCTTCTGCACATAAGTGCGCGTGGGTTCGAACCCCACAGCCTGCATATAATCTATAGTACTTTTTTTAAGCTAAAACTTAAAATAATTTTATTTTCGTTTAGGAAGGAGAGCAGTCTCGCCCGAGGGGTTAAGGGGAAAAAGTTCGCACACTGTGTGCGTGGGTTCGAACCCCACAGCCTGCACAATTATCTTTACTCCATTTTTCCGTGAAGCCTAACCGTCATTTTTCAATTTTCGTATTTAAATAATATATTTTATTACAGATTAAATAATTATTACTAAAATTTGAAATTTATTGTAAAATGTTTTTAATAGATATGTAAAGTTAACAATTACATGATAGGTTATCACTACCAAATATAAAGATGTAAATCACAATTTTATGTTGTATAACTTTAAAAGTAAAAATAAATAAGACATCAAGAACAGTCCCTTCTCATGAAGAGGTCGCGTATTGTTTCTTTTTACTGTGTTCTGTAATGCCATTATGACACAGGACAATTATTCTCAGCCAAACAAAAGAGATAGAGAGAGCGTCGCATCAATCTAAGACTTGAAAAAGGGCACTCATTCATTCTTTGAAAATCAAAGCTACGCTGCAAATATCATGACAGATATCATCATGTCTTCCTAACTTCTCGGAACTATTGTTCAACCTCCTCAGAACAAAAACGTTCTGAAATTATTCAAGGGAAAAGGGGATTCTCTGAGTACAACAAAACAACCAGTCTCACAACCAACACTTATTCACGGAAGTTAATGGATCGACAACCTTCACCACTCGTCCAGCGTCGTCTAGTACGGTTCAACGGGCTTGCGGAAGTTTGCTCCAGCATATACTGCAGCTGAGCCAAGCTCCTCTTCGATACGCAACAGCTGCGCGTAGGTGAAAATAGACGATACATAATCAGAATAAACAGAATTCAGAACACAGACAATGAGCTAAGGGAATGTGTCTAGACGATGATATCAACCTGGTTGTATTTGGCAAGACGTTCTGATCGGCATGGAGCACCAGTTTTGATTTGACCCTGCAATAGAAGTAGGGAGTTGAATCAGTAGATGGACGAGATCGATTAAAGATCGTGATATGTAAGGTTTCGGGATCATATTGAAGGACGACGAAAAATACCGTAGCCAAACCAACAGATAGATCAGCAATGAAAGTATCCTCTGTCTCTCCACTGCAACCAAGTAGAACTCAATTCTATTACTCACTAAAACTTGTAATGTTTCTATGAAACCAAACGGTAGGATTAGGAAATCCGAACCTTCGGTGGCTGGCCATAACTCCCCAACCGGCACGTTTCGACATTTTTACAGCCTCGATACTCTCGGTGACAGATCCGATCTGGTTAACCTTGAGAAGAAGGGCATTGCAAGTTTTTTCCTTGATTGCCTTCTCCACCCTCTGTGGGTAAGGAAAAACAGAGAAGTAAACTATTAACAATCTATAGGGAAAGGAATTCAAAAAAGGGTTCGAGCCCAAATCGTATACCTTCGGGTTGGTAACCAAGAGATCATCTCCCACAATTTGAACCTTTTCTCCTATTTCGCTGGTCATCTTCGAGTAGTGCTCCCAGTCATCTTGGTCAAATGGGTCTTCAATCGAGACAATAGGATATTCGGAGGCAAAAGACTTGTAGAGGTCCTTCAGAGCATCTCCTGAGATCTTCTGTGAGCCATCATTGTTCTGCATCAAAATTCATACGTGAAAAGTCATATAACTTAGTGCTGCATTACGAAATTTGGAACAACTTGAATTAGCAGTAACTCGGCTTCAAAAAGAGAAAAGATTTGCACAACTATATGGTAAATGAAAACCTACCTCTTCTTTGAAGTTCAAATCGTAGGTCTTGTCTGATCCATAAAATTCAGATGCAGCAACATCCATTCCAATAACAACCTAACAGAAACAGTCCTGTGAATCTCCTGATAATGGATAGTCCACCAAGAACAGTGAAAGAGGAAGAAACTAACCTGGCTAGTGTAACCAGCTTTGGCAATTGCAGTTTTGAGCAATTCAAGACCTTCCTTGTTCTCCTGGTGAATATGACAAGCAAAGATGTAAATAGAGAAATGAAAGGGTAATGAAAAGAATATATTTAAACAAATGAAGCAACAACGTGCTACTTTACATGTATACCTGAATGTTAGGAGCAAATCCACCTTCATCACCAACGTTTGTTGCATCTTGTCCGTACTTCTTCTTGATGACAGACTGCAATTATGCACATAAACATTACATAAAGGCTATGAACTTGAAAATAATAGTGATACGTGATCCTTTTTTTTTTTTTTTTTTTTTTT